GGTCCCTTCCCTGCGGACGGGGCGTGGGGAGCAGGGGGCGGGGAGGTGCGCCCGCCTCGCCCGCAGCTACAGCCTAGCTGGAGCCTGGCGCGTCTGCAGAGCGCGAACCGTTGCTCATTACCGCAATTATGTTGCTCTAAATATGCCTCGACCCTAAATTACCAAATTCAGAGGAGCCAGGAGGTCCTGGAGCCCGGGCTGGAGGAGACACCCGATCCCGCCCTGCGCCATTCCTCTGTCCCCAAGGAGCAGAAAGGATTTTAGCGCTGCAAACATGCTTGAGCTGAGAAACCTCAGACCCGGTCGGTATTTCCTGGGAGACTTCCTGGGCTGGCGGGGGATCCCCAGGCCCATTTCATAGGTGAGGAAACCGAGGTAGAGAGAGAGGGCGTGAGCTAACCTACCTATCCGAGGCTGGACAATCAGTACCAGGCAGGTTTGAATCACAGGGAACTGCATCTGCGTGTCTAATTTCAAGCTAGGTACTATTCCCAAGACCTGAGAATCATCTCAGAGGTGCTTCAAGAAGAAACCCACGGTTTTTCTAAGGGTGAGGGTGCCCTGCAGACTTCCTGGTGAACTACTGAATATAGAGAAAGGTGACAAGGGTGGAGGTGACCCTTTCTGGCTGCAAGCAGCAAGGAGAGAGCCAGCCTTCAGAGGACTTTTAAAGGCCCATGGCACAGAGGTCAGAACTGGTGGGTAGAACTCCTCACTGGCAGGGGGTGAGGCTTCCCAGAAGCCAGTTCAGGGTGAGGGTCACTAATCAACCCCTTCCAGACTGTCTGCAGTGGGGGACAGCACTTTACAGCAAGATTGTCTTCCTTCTCATGGGGCAGGGGCTGACAAGCTCAGACCACAGCTCCACTGGGATAGGACAGAATGTTGGCTCCAGTATCCTGTGCTGGAGGGTCCAGGGGCCCAGAGCCCGTGCTGGTAACCTCTGGGTCCACTCAACCCTGGGCCCTCCGAGTTCCTAGGCCTGATCTCCACCCCTGGGGCTAGAAAGGACTGTGTGCTCTAGATTTTATCCTGGAGAGATGGCTGCTCCTCAAGTCTACTGCCAGCTTCAGGGTTCTAAGAGCCCTTGATCAGCACTGCCTGGGGTTTGGTTGCAAAAGCCACCCATCCGACAGAGGCTGAGCAAGGGAGGGCACAGATTACTGAGAGTTAAATAAGGCTCCCAACACCAAAAAGAAGAGAGGTGTGGGAAACATAATGGGCTTTACTTACTGTCTCCAAGGCCCTTGCAAAATTCCTGCCAACAGGCCTAACATGGCCCTTGTGCACGTACTGTATCTTCTCCCCAGAACCTGAACTTGACTTACTACCTAATAGAAAAGCCAGTTTCCAGAACACTGTGAAGTAGGCCTTTGTTTGCAAAGACATTGCCCAGGCAGAGTGTATGGTCGCTCTGGGTTTTGGGTGAAGTTTGATGTCCCTGTGATGTATGTTTCTGGTTTTGTAATAGAGATTGCTGTAGGGGTGCAAAGGTTCTCACTGGCAGTCTGGGAAGCAGTGGCTTCCACCCGCCCCCGCAGCCTCCCCTGGGAAAGGCAGGTTGGGAGGGAGGTAGGAACTGTCTCCTTTAGCTGTCTACAGTCATCAAACCCTTTGGACGATTCACTTTGTTTTCATAGACAGGTTAAAAGGGGAGAGAAAAGAAAGAGTTGGTTACGGGTCGCCTGTGCAAGTGTGGATTTCATCTTAAAGTGAATTGGAAAATTGAGCCTAATTATCCTAGGTAATTGCTCCGATTCTCCACTTGACTTTGCTAACGCAGCTCTGTCCTGCGTGTTCCCAATAACACCTGCAGTGTTCCCCTAGATCCTCCTGTCAGCTCTGAAAGCTGCTGGTGTAAAGCTCTCTTGGAATGGAAAAAGCAACTGTATATGTGAAGGGAAGGCAAGAAGTAAAATTAAAATGCAAGACCAAATCACCAAAGAGATAATTTCTTGTAGCTTGAAATTAATTTATTTAACAAATATAGCTATAATATAAATGATAATAAAATTTCAAATATACAGTATATTACATAGTACACACAATCCCTTCCAAAGGGATGTTTGAGAGCCATGAAAATGTACTGTTAAATAGAAACAGAAATTTTAAAATTTTATAATTTTTTTCTGGTACTGGTGAAAGAGGTCCCTTCAACCTACCTTTGCAATGCATCTTGTGCCCTGCCCCTCAAATCAATATTTGGCTGTTGGATCTCTCTTAAACTTTCCAAAGGAAGGGGCTGGCATCCAACTCCCCGAGCGCTCTTCCTTCCTTCTTGAAGGCTGCTCTCATTTCTCTGCAGTTTTCCTGCTTGGTGTCAAGTTGAGGAGCAGCTGTGCAGGAGACGCGGGGGCCTCTAGTCCTGTTGCACCCACGGCTAGTCCTGCTTGGGACCTTGCAGAAACCTCTTGGCCTCTCTGGCCTTAGTTTACCCATCTATAACTCGAGGGTGTGTATAGATCTAGATTTTAGAAAAGTACTAACGGACTCTTCCAGCCGCTTTTGGGGGACAGGAACAGACTTCGGAGAGTGAACTCAGGGAGCGACCAGGAGAAACAGGGTGCAATTTGGGGGCTAAAGGGAAGGGGCCAGTGGTGCTGAGCAGGAAGCTGTGGTAGGAATCCTGCTGCTTACAGACGACTCGAGCTGGAAGAATAGGCTGGCACCACAGATGGGCGACACAGGGCCACCTATGTCAGATGGTACATGCTGTAGCCTACATGGGCCGTGTAGAGTCCCACAGGTGCCACAGGGAGTGCGGCGCGCTGGAAGGGGCCGGAGGCACTGTAGAGCGAGGCACCCGCCGCTGCAGCGACAGCCGCTGGACCACCGAGGGGGAAGGAGAGGCCGAAGGCGGCCGGGGGCAGCATGGGCTTGGCTGCCATCTTCAGCTTCTCCAGTTCGGCCTCCTGCAGTCTCTTGGCCTTGGCGCGGCGGTTCTGGAACCAGATCTTCACCTGTGTCTCCGTGAGGCTGAGGGAGCTGGAGAACTCTGCGCGCTCCGCAATGGACAGGTACTGCTTCTGGCGGAACTTTCGCTCCAGAGCCAGCAGCTGGGCAGTGGTGAAAGGCGTCCTCGGCTTACGGTTTGTCTTGTGCTTGCGAAGGGTGCAGGCCGGAGGACTCAGCCGCCCTAGGGGGCCAGGAGAGAAAAAGGCAGGGGGTTAAGAGAGAGGCAGTGGAACGTGATCAGCCCTTGAAGTGCTAATGTCAGTACCAGTGCCAGCTCCTGATACCACCAAGCACCTTGGTCCTGGGCACTACAGCAGGCACTTGAAAAATATCTTCTTCAACTCCCATTGCAACCCCACTAGAAAGCCAGTCCTGTCTACTTTTTGCAAATGAACTAAGATTCCAGAGGAAATATATTTACGTTCAAAGCTCTCAGTTCCCTTGGCAAAGGCAGACACACAGCTGGGCACAGGTAAAATCCCCTTTAAGATTAACGAGGTCTCTCACAGTGGGGCCTCTACCCACAGATGCACACAGAGAGAAGATGGATGTAATACAGGTGATGCAGCACAGAAAGACGCCCTGCACCCAGCCAAGGTCACAGCGAATTTTATGCAATGGGCCAGGCATTTCTGTGCCCACAAGCGCTCAGAGCTGGGCTGGGCTACCACTTGGCACAGACTCCAGATCTCCAAACCTCACGTTTCCCCCTAAAATGGCAAGTCGCTGCAGGGTTCTGGGGTCAGTCCCTAGCTGGGGCAAGTGACAGTCACAGAGGTAGGACTGTGGGCCCCCCTCTTAAATATACAAAGTGCCACTTGGAGCAGTGGAGAAATGGCAGCTTCTTCTGATGTCTCCATTTTCTCCTGGGCCTTGAACTTGAGACACATTCTAATGTGTACAACGACAAGGGCTTTACCTGTGGCTCAGTTTGCAGACACCCATGATGCCTGACTGTTTTTCAATTCTGGCTTCCTGATAACCCTCAAAGATGGAGATGTGCATAGACAGCTAGCGCCAGGCTAGGACAGGGCCGCTGTGCGCTTTCTTCCCAAGAACACGTTACCAAACAGAACATGCCACAGATTATTTCTAGGACAACCAGAATCCCGTTAACTAACATTAGGGCCCCTGGGACCAAATTCTCAAATCTCGGGGAGGAAGCGCGGCCCACAGAGCAGCTTTCTTAGGGGAAGGTGAATTGAAGAGGACGGTTCACCACACGGGACTCGATTATGCTTTTTTTTCTGCCGCCTCCCTTTTTCCTAACGGGTCTCTCACCAGGATGTGAGTCAAACGAAATCTTGAGCTAACATCCCCTTATTCCCGGCTAGCTCCAGGCCACTGCGAGTCCGGGAAGCGGTTGGCCCAACTCGCTTTCCTCAGGGTGGCCAGAGGGGCCGGCGCCTAGCAAAACTGGCGACAGCCCAGTATCTGGGCCACCTACCCTGGTCTTTAGGCCCAGGGAGGGGCCGGCTTTTCAAAGACGTTTAATCCCCAGATAAAAATCATTCCTCCCTATCACACCATTGAATTTGTGCTGCCATTATGCAGCACCAAATAATCGGAGGAAACGAGGAAAACTTGGGAATTTCCCGTGCTCCTGAAATATCTCCGAGGAGTGTTCGCTGGGCAGAGACGCCTGGGGCCCCGAGGCCTTGGGACTGCCCAGCCCTGGGACGAGCCCTTGGCGGCTGGTGTCCTTTCCTCTGGCCAGGTCCCAGAGCTCCAGAGCTCCGGACAGGACAGAAGGCGCTTTCCCAGACTGGGTACCTGCCCCGCCCCCTCCACGGAACAGGGTCCTCCTCCCCTCTTATGGTCCACCGGCCCAAAGTACCAAGTGTTTGCTTCAAACGCGATGGGAGCCAGGAACCTTTCTGCAAAGAATAAGATACAGGACTTTAAACGGTCGGAACGAGGGCCAGGCTGTTAGAAGAAAGTGAAACTCCGCGCGCAGCGAAGGAAGCCCGGCTGCTAAGACCCATCCTTGGAGAAATGCGAAGTAACGGGCCTTAAGCTGAGATGGCAGGGTTCAGGTTCTTTCGCTAGAGCGGGAGCGAAAGGCACCCAGGCTCTGGGGTCTTACAAGTGACCTCCCACCCGCAGCGTCCCCTCACCAAGGCGAGAAGCCCGCGAGAGTGGACCTCGAACTGGGCCCCCGTGGGGCCGTGGGCTCTTCTTGGGTGGCAGCAGCCAAGCCCCCGCCCTCGATGCCCCGCAGCGTGGCCTCCAGGTATCCAGCTACAGGTACGAAAGCTCCGAGACAGGCGGGCGCCCGGGCCGCGCACCCCACCTCCCACCCGCAGCGTCCCCTCACCAAGGCGAGAAGCCCGCGAGAGTGGACCTCGAACTGGGCCCCCGTGGGGCCGTGGGCTCTTCTTGGGTGGCAGCAGCCAAGCCCCCGCCCTCGATGCCCCGCAGCGTGGCCTCCAGGTATCCAGCTACAGGTACGAAAGCTCCGAGACAGGCGGGCGCCCGGGCCGCGCACCCCCCCTCTC